AAAGAAAAAAAAAAAAAAAAAAAAAAATAGTAGAAGAGAAAGTATTCAATATCAAAAATTGTATAAATATATAGATAATAAATAACGATAGAGTGATGGTGAGATAAAATTCTCATTAGTATAAATCAAATTCATGTTGCCAATTTATATACGTTGTGCCCACAAATTACCGTTGTTATCTACTTTAATTTTTACCCGCTCTTCCTGAGTCATATGACGAGTCTCAGACTCATCGACAGAGTCTGTTCCTCGGCCTTCTTGTGACTCGGCCTTCTGCTCTGTTTCTTCTTCTTCCATGACACCCTCGCTCTTCGTTTGCAGCATGAAAACATCTTTACCTACATATCTATTCTACGAAACCTACTCACCCGAACACTGTTTAATTTTAAATTTGTATAATGTATTCACGAAGCTTATTGTGTATTTCTATCTCATTCGCATATATTTTTGTTCTCCTTATTTTTAATATATGTATATATTGCCAACTAAAAAACTGTCGATCGTGTATATATGCTGATCATCTAAAATGTGCCGTGAACATATGGGCATTTAGCTTTTCGGCAAACATGTAAAGAACGAGTGGATATGGAGACACAAATCTTCGTAAATTTAGGTTCAACTAGAACTTAGAGAACGGTAACATGTTAAATCGGTCGAGGTGCGGTGCTAATTAACGGTAGCAAATCCCAATTAAAAGTGGCATGCTCCAAAACACTATTCTTAAAATCTTCCCCCTGTCGCAACGTATATCGATGGAGCATTAATATTATTTTAATAAAACAAGCGATTCACAAATGAATTATCTTCATCGATAGCTATACTTATACTCTGTACTTGTACTTCGACATACAGTCTTTACTGCTATATCGCGCGCCAAAAGATCATCTACCAAATTTGCGCATGCATTTTACTCGCTGCGTCTGTAAGCTCCAATAAAGAAAAAAAGATTTGCTGAAATTATCGCATATATCTAAAGTATAACATCGATCGCTAATTACATTCCAAAATATCGATTATTGGAATTACCAAGCTAGCTAGCATACGTAAAGCATGCCTGAAGGATTTGTTACCGCTAATTAATGTCAATAACGTTTTGTCGGAAACAACTGAATGCCCTTTTCCATAATATGTGACTCTTTTTCCGTATAGTAGATACGATTCTTGTAATTGCATGCAGAATGTAATATTATAAAACTCACCTTCTCGCCGTATTCAGGGTCAATGGCCATCATTTCCCTGAGAGTCCTCAACACCTTTACACATAATTTTTCTTCCTTTTCTTCGAGTAGCTTTTCCGTATGTTTGATTAATCTGAACGGTAGAAAAACGATCAAGGATTATTATTGATGATTTACATTACAATATATCTAAAACGATACTTCAATATAGGTAAGATAATGGATTAGACAAAGCTTGAGATGGTATAAAGCGATAATTTACCTTTTGATGAAGCCACCATTCTCGCAACGTTTTCTAGCGTCACTCGCTGCTGGGAACAGTAATTCTGGCCGATAGAGTATATCCACTAACAAAGATAATTCAGACTGAACTAGTGGTTTCAATTGTTCTTCCAATAACGATACTATGTCTTGTAAACCTTCTATGATACTTCGATCCAAACGCATTAGCTAAATAAAAATACATCATTCCGTAATAATTACATAGTACACATAAATATTTCGTTTCTATGATGCATTTACTCCTGTTATTCTATCTTATGTATAATATTCGTCCGTAATTTTATGCTACTTACAAACTAATATTAACTAATATGCTACGCTAGAGCACTATAGGTGTAGTAAGCTAATACACTATCAGGATTTTATGAGTGACTTTTACCTGATCTTTACTATCTTCCTCACAAATTAAGTCACTCTACATATCCAAAGATCACATCAATTATAAATCGATTACGAAAGGTTTAACGTTTATTAGAGAAATTAGTCAAACATAAAGTAATTGCTTTTTGACAAAAATTACCTGACTTTGTGTACGTTCTATCTTTGGTTGTTTCGCAGCTTGAAGCCATTTACTTGTTTGTCTACTAAGCATCGCTGCCTTATTGAACATGGAAGCAACTTGGCTCTCCAAATCTGTTGGAATGGCTATGCCTCTTCCTTTAGCTGATAATTTAAATAAATTGTATTTTTTGTTTTATAAAATGGATACAAAGAAAAATTGTAAATGTAATATTAAGAGCAATCTAAATAAGCTTACCTACGTCTGATAATGTTCTTATACAATTTTCGACATTAAATCTTTGACCAGCATTTAGCCACCCACACTGTGAGACTTTAAAAGCCGCATGAAGTAATTGAACGAATATAGGTTGTCGTGTCTGTTTTAAAAAAGAAGTGTTTAATGCCTTTTAATAATTAGTCAAACATAAAGTAATTGCTTTTTGACAAAAATTACCTGACTTTGTGTACGTTCTATCTTTGGTTGTTTCGCAGCTTGAAGCCATTTACTTGTTTGTCTACTAAGCATCGCTGCCTTATTGAACATGGAAGCAACTTGGCTCTCCAAATCTGTTGGAATGGCTATGCCTCTTCCTTTAGCTGATAATTTAAATAAATTGTATTTTTTGTTTTATAAAATGGATACAAAGAAAAATTGTAAATGTAATATTAAGAGCAATCTAAATAAGCTTACCTACGTCTGATAATGTTCTTATACAATTTTCGACATTAAATCTTTGACCAGCATTTAGCCACCCACACTGTGAGACTTTAAAAGCCGCATGAAGTAATTGAACGAATATAGGTTGTCGTGTCTGTTTTAAAAAAGAAGTGTTTAATGCCTTTTAATATTGTCAACAGTTTTATAAATGTATATATATATATATATATATATATATAGTTATATATAAAAGGAATATATGTATTATTAAAATTTTTGTTACAATTTATATCTAAATAAGATCTTAATATGTGAAGCATCTTTCATTGAAAATTCCAATTTAGACAGCAAAGATGCATTCGTTATAAATTCGTGATATAATAAAATTACTATTATTATTCGAATTGTTTTTCGTACGTAATATAACACACTCATTGCCAAGCTCCAATAGAGAAAAAGTTCCATATAATGTATTAAACCACAGATTCATGCTGCGTGAAGTGCAAAAGAATAGATACAGAAGAGTACTCCAAATAAAATAAATGATTTATGGCTAGTACTTATTGTTAGAAGAACAGATACAGCAAGCTTGTTCGTCGAAGACAGTGAATGTGTTAGTACAATTGTCCAGAGATATATATTAAAGTTTCTATTTACAACATTTAAATTTAGAAATTTGAAAACCACCGTGACATCGATGAAGCACATATCTGTACTTATATTTTTCAAATTCCCTTAATACGTGCTGTTATTCATTTACAAAGAGATACGCCTATTTACAACAAAAGTATTTATGAATGATAAAACTTCTCAGGTTAATTTATACTATTCAATGAATTATATATATGTAGTGAAAAATGATTTTCTTCGTTTTAAATGTCAACAGTATCCATATTAGTATTGCAAAGTGTATTTACAATTGCTCATAAATTGAGTGAGCGTTTCTTTCAATTTTGGTACTCACATAGCCAGTAACATTAGTATCAGTAATCCGGTCACTTTCCTTGATGCTCCAATAAAGTCTAGCCTCGTGGAGATGTTTCTATTAGTAAATCAACCCACCACCATATAGACCCAGCACCCAGACCCAGTAAACCAATGTTGATGAGTCAAAGAAGGCCAGGTGTTGCATGCCAAAAACACAGAACATGCCGCTGATGCAATCACCAGTTACCAAGCACACATCAAAAAATATATTAACGCTGTAGTTATCGACTTATATTACTCTGGCTTACCAGTATAGGCAAACAAGTATACCAAAAAAAAAAGATATATATATACCATGGAGCGTTAAATAAAACAAATTAAATTATATAAATAAATACTAATGCTTCCATAAGTTTGTGATATGTACTTGGCTTTTCTAAATAAACCTAAAATTAATGTGTTTGTCATGCAAAGCAAGAAATTATCAGATAAATTAAGTGACAGAATAACTGCACAGGCTTTTGCTCATAATTATTTCATATGTTAAGATTATGTTATTTGTAGATATACTATATGCCTGTATATTTCATTACGCTTATACTTTAAATATGTATTTGAAAATTCAATTTTCTTAGAGATATTTTTACATGATACCACTATATACTTTGAATTTACTATGATACAATATAACTTTTAAGTTCAAATTATTACGTTAGTTCTAGCAGCCCATATCTTTTTCGAAAAATTACCTCCATTATGACGTACTGCAGTTAAGTAATGAAACATAATAAATATTAAATGTAAAGTATCTAAGTATATAGCGAATTAATTATATAAACCATACTTATATATAAATACAATCGAAATATTAGAAAGTAATAATATTTTATCAATTTAATACAAATATAATATCTCATTGTGCAAATAGTCGAAAGAATCGAAATATTGGCTGTACAATCTGAAATGTAATATAAATGGATATAATCACAGATAAATCTTTTTTACGTAAGAAAATGATAAAACATAACATAGAATAAAAGAAATGCTTTTGTGCTGTTATTAAAATGATATAGACACATGTGGTAAGAAATAATGTGTTTTTGCTTGTTAATTCCTTATATCCGAATAAATTATTGTGCTTAACAGATTGAAGTGCCATTAAATAAATACCAATATTAATTAGGAAATTCGTGTGAAAAGTTTTGTAAATAACAAAGATGAATAATTCCTTTCAATTTAACACTTAAGCCAATTAGATTTCGTTAAAATTGTATTTATAGACACAGTACCGAGAAATAACGAAAACCAGAAAGTTCACTTAAAATTATTGAAATAGACGAATACAATACCTGTACTGTAGTACTTTGATCTGAAAATGGACTGCTAAAGAACGTTGTAATGATATTCATTAGGCAACCTGTCACATAATTTTCCAGAGCTGTGTCAGCGTGTTCACGATCGTGTGTGGCTGTTGCTATAATTCCCATGTCTACAATGAAAGACTTTTCGAACAACGACCACATATGATTTGACGTGTAAATTTCTTTCATTTCGACTTCCGTGTCAATGTAACAATGATTCAGGAAATTAATATATGCTTCCTTTACCTATAAATAAACCGTTAAAACAATTACCTGTAATTTTGCAAATACAATTTCTCCAGAAATAATTATGAATAAACTTACTTCAGGTATGCAATCTGAATGCGACACCATAACAACGATATCGTCTAGTGGTAAAAGACTGTGACATTTAATTTCCGTATTAACATTTTTACCCATTGTACAGCAAGCTAATAACTTAACCAATTCTACGTGGTATCTAAAATATATACATATATATTAATATAAGATATAACACATAATTTACTACCTTATTATATTTCTTAAATGAATTACTTGAGTGGACTACTTTCGTCCATCCGATGTCGTTCAGATCGCATCATTTCCACAAAATGATTGAAAGAAGCTCGATCGTTATAAAAAACCAAAACGTCCTCGCCTGCTTGAACCAACTACGACGAAAAGCGCAATTAATTCGTATATTTTTAAAAGATCTAAGTTTAAAGATTTAAGATTTACTCGCCAATACGAGTACCACTTACTTCTTGCATTACCATTTCCTGGCATTTCCTAATAAATTGATTCTCAGCTTTTACTATCGTTTGAAGAAATTTCAAATATTGTACATGTTTCCCATGAGTTTCTATGCAATGCACAAAATGCTGTATCACCTTGGCATTTACTTCATTGCACAAAGTCGAATTGTCTTGAAAAATGCTACATACTGTTTGAGCTTCGCGTATACCAGGATTTAAAAACAAATCCAATTGCTTATGTAAAAGAACTTGATTCTGTTGATTTCCTAAGCAAAAGTTCTGTAGAAAATCGTGCGCCAGTCGCATCAACTCGTTCATTCTGACGTCCTCCTTCGCGTCAAACGGAACTTGCAACAAGTCTAGGACGACCGTATGTACTCCGACGTTGCGTAAAAGTCTTTGCTCGTGTTTTCGTGGTTTTATTTGACCACCTATCGTTTGAATGCATAACTTGTTCATTCGAATTAGGATCTGTTGTATCTTTTTATATTCCTCCGCTTGGTCTGCGTGCAATGGCGGACCAATGTCTAAATCTATCGCAGATCCTACAATTATAAATAATTTCTACGTTAGAAAGAATATTATATTTTATTCCTATATTTCTATACATATTTCTATATTCTTTTTCCAATATCTTTTTCTATATTTCTACATTCCTATACTCTTATACGCCATATCCTATATTATTTCTTTACTTTTTTAATGACTCCATATGTAAGATTATCAGGAATACCTTTTTTATCCGATGTAGACAATTGAGGCGGAGCTTTTCGAGGAGTAGCTCCATCATCTTCTTCCTCTTTACTCTTCTTCTTTTTATTACCATGTTCCTCCGATGCTTTAGATTTGTAAACCCAAAGTTCCGATTTCTCAACCGACTGTCGTAAAACATCTAAGTCGGATTTTATTTGTTTATAGGATTCAACGTCGCTATCGGAAACCAAAAGTTGCACCTATTCGCAATAATTTAATAAATCTTTCTTGTTTCTTTTCTCCCCCTGTTAATGATTCTATCGTAATTTCACGCATAACGTACTTGTTTAAATGCTTGTAAAACTTCTTGTCTTTGGCTAAAGTGTCTGAAAAGCAAATGTAACGCTCCGGAAACTAACGGTGGATAATCGTGCATAGCCAAATGTAACAAAACACGTAGAAATGTTCGGCCACCTTGGCCATCTAGATCCAACGCCACACATTCCTCGCTAAATAGAATAATTTATGAAATATCCTAATATGTAGTGAAAGAACTGAAAAACATAGATGATAAATTACCTGCTACCAAATATACCCTCTGCTTGTGTGCCTATTAATTCTAAATCGATAGTTTTCTGACCAAGACTCAAGTCACCGGAAGCTCTTTCAGTTTCATCAAACTCTTGCTTGAAGATGCTCAGCAAACAAGAAATCCTGTAGTCCAATCGAACATCGAGTATGAATTGTAAAATTTCGATTATTTTCAGCTTCGTGTCCATTACTAGAGGATATTCTTTTTTCAAAAGTGGTTTTGGTCTAGGAGATGAACTGCCTGCCAATACTTGACCAGCTGGACCCAGTGTTAAGCTCGTCATTACTGCGCCCATGTCTCCAATACATCTCAATACTCCACCTTCCGCTAACAAATGTTACAAGCAATTTTAAACCTGTTCTTAATTCGTTAAATATATAATTTTTTAATTACTTCTACATGAATTTGCAAAGAAATTATTTCAAGCGAGGTATTAGAGATTAAATATAGCAAATAGTTACGTTATCAGAATCATAATTATCATTAATAAAAATATTTATGTTTACGAATACAGAATGACAAAAATGGAAAACATCAAAGGAAATTACTGGACGAAACAAGCAACGAAGGTTATAGAGCAACATGCATGAACGAAAAATTGTATTAAAAAAATTGAATCGTAACTATTTCAAGTCGTCATTAAATCACAATTATATATTACCTATGTCCTTAGAATCCACAGAATCAGCTTTAGGAGTTTTCAACATTGGTTAGTTAATTATATATGACATATATTAGAATTTGTGCATGTTCAGTATATGTATTTGTTTAATATAATATTTTTTTTAGTTTATGTCAAAGCATATGGATACTGGAGGATTGAAATAAATAAAAATATGAATTATTTATTTTGCACTAGACATTTACATAGTGTCAATGGAAGAGATACAGTGGTTGGTTCTATGGTGTACAAAAAGGACACAATTATCGGGAAGTAATAATACTGTACAAGGAGCGTTATGTTCAAGCGTTGTTAATTGTGAGTAGGGTAAATAAAAAATAATTTTTTAAACACTTACAATCAATGTCACCAGTCGGAATTTTTCCATCAGCTACATCGTTTTCTGAGATACAGTCCAAAATACTGAGCAACGTTTTCGTTAATCTCAAAAGATCGCTGAAGCTGTAGAAACCGAAATAAATTAAATCGCGTGCCAATTTGACGACCTAAAACATTATTAAAGTAACATTAAACGATAATGATTATTTGGCGAATAAAATATGCTCAATATATTTTTTCAAATGTCTTACTTCGAACGTAAGTTTATTCTGTTCTTGATCCGCAAAAGACCACATCTTTGCCACAACATTACACAAATAATCTTCCACAAACATTATAGTTGCGCTAAACTTGGCGCGCACGCCTTCCTTATTTTGATCCCGCATCCTGTTTGCATCGTAACTAAAAGCAGACAATACATTTCATAAATGTTTCAAAATATTATACATTCGCATATTACGTATGCACATAATTTTGCATTCTATTCACGTACTCATTAATGCTCATTTTCGAAGGAATTTCAGACCAAAGTCGGGCGTATTTAACTGGTGTCACTTGCTCTTGCGGATCTCTGTCAACGTGAAGATGTAACATAAGTCGACAAAATGAGGCGCGTAATTCATATGGCACCGTTTCGTCCTCCATACACCTGAATATTTCATTGAAACGTTTTTTATATCCGATAATAAATTAAATAGTAATCACAAAATATTTTATCTGTACTTACTTGAGTATAAGACCGATGTCCAAATGTGGTGATAAGTTATTTAACGCCAAATACTGTCTATTTAGACACATATTGCTGAAGAGATTTAATTGATGTCTATAATAGTCTAATATGGCTGCGTCTTGAACGTTGCCTATCTTTGCTGCTCTTGATAACTCGTTTAAAGACATTGTCTTCTATATAGATTATTAAACGTTTTAAATATTTTAAATAGACTTTATATCTATATAAAAATAAATATACAACTTATGTAACGATACTAACCATCCCATTATTCCATACAAGAAAAACTTCATACTCTTCCATCACAGTTATTCGTGGTTCATCATTCTCCTGTTTCTCGTCTAACTCTTCGACTTCAACCTGAGTTTTCGTCATCCTGAAGAAATTTATTATATGAAATCGATATAGATGAAATCACGGCTGTTAATGAACGAAGTCTACCTTACCTAGTTTCTAACAATATATCTTTATTCTTTTCGCTTAGTACGCTTTTACAAATTAATTCTTGTGTTACGGCAATCGCTTTTCTGTTAGAAATACATAAATCTGATAAATAATCTAAGAATCTGGACTCCCAATTGTGCATATTTTTTCTCACAAGTCCCACGAAAGTTTCAATTTCCGCTGCCGTGATATGCTTTTCTAATAATTTCCTATTATTGTGTAACAATGCGGTGATAGTATCTTCCGCCAAAATATCGTACCCAATTTGCTTTTGCATGAAAGCAAAGTGTTTCGCGATATATTCCTGCGTTGTGAGGTACATTAATTAGTGTATCTCGAATAGACACGCATAATTAAACGTGAGATCACATCTAAATATACTATACCTGGTTTTTCCGATAATCTTGTTGAGATAATCTAAGTATTCGGTAACATAAACGAAACATATATTTGTACGGCGCGTGTCGTGGATCATTCAATTCTTCTATTCTAAGAAATGGTCCCTCACCTTCCGCAGACTCTAAGAATGGAGCCTACAAATAAAACTTTAGAAGAGTTACGCGTCCAAGAATTATAATATTCGTACTATCTTCCTTCGTTAAAATGTCCTATCTAACATCTCGGAAGCGAAGAAAATTGAAGTTTTATCGTTTCCTTTCGCGTCATCTTCAACTCAATTAAAAATATTTAGTTATTTCGTAACAAAGCGTGTAATATAAATTTTATCTAACTGAAAAAGTAAAAGACGCGGAAAATTTCAAATACTTAAATATATCTCGAAAAAAAAACGTTAGATAGGAGATTTTAAATAACAAAGGAAGTATATTTAACAATATTTAACAATTTTACCTGAAGTATCTTAAATAATTGACCAAGTATGTATTGCTCTCGCAATAACTTTTGCCGGTCCCTGACAGCATTGGTAACGATTAAATCTAAAGCTTCGGATTTATTCTGCTCGTTCTCTAAGCCAGCTATAAAATATACTATATCCTGCAATAAACTTGTCACGGCTCTTCTTTCATTGTGCGAGATCGTACCCTTTTCCAGTTTACCACTAATTGACGCTAACACTTTGCATGCGTCATTCGCAAAATCGAGATCTCGCACCTCGACTGGCGACACTGACCTCAGTGCAAACGCCTCTTTATCTTCTTTATTGATTGCACAACCCACCTTGCGATATCATTACAATTTAGACAAGCGATTTTTTTTTTTTAAAGAATGGAAAATAGGGCAGATTGCATTATATGTATATACTGTTGACCAAAATTTTAGAATCAATACGTGTCTCGCGTAATTCAAGAATTAAAGAAAGAAAAGTCAGGTAGTTTAGGAAATTATTTAGTCAAAAATATAAAATTTAACAAGTACAGAAAATTATCATTAATATCTGTAACATTAACTTCCTATTAATAACATAATTAGCATAATATATGATAAGTCAGAACGTTATTTTAAACTTTTAACTGACAGTGTATACATTGCAATCAGTTTCATTTAAAAGTACCTTTGACATAACAGGTTTTTCGTCATCCTTATCGATTGGTACACTGGTCGAGTGAACCCAGGTGTTCGTACATATATGATGTAACCTGACGAACGATGATTGTGGGACCAAACTGTCGCCTCTCGTTAACGTAGTCGGATCCAATTCGAATAAGGAACTTATTTCGTTACTGTGTGGTACTGATACTAATCTATATACCGGCCCAGGTGGATCTATAAACCACACGATCTATATCACGATTATATTTAGAACTGTATGAACCACGTATGTTATAAACGTTTATTGTATAACTGTGCAAGGCTTCTCTACTATTACAACATGCGGGGAAATGTAATAACATTATGTATACATTCCCTGAAGACTGTCGTCGATTCTATTTTACACATAAATATCTATCTTACCACGCTTGCCTTTTGTGGTCTCACGTGGTTCGTCGGTGTCAATTTCTGCGGCCAAATATTGTCCCGTCGCCAAATGTTTGAATCGGAACAGGGAGTTCCAATGACCTGCTCCTCCTCTGCAAGGATCGTGCTGAACGACCTGTAGAAAAGATTATTAAAATGCTTGAAAACCTGTCAATATTGCATACATATATTCTCTAATAAAAAATAATTTTCTATTATTACTATATTTCTATACCTTTCGAATCATCGGTAGCAGAAATAGTATTATTATTAAATAAACTAACAATAAGGTATGAAAGAATCTAACCCTGACATGTTGTAGCATAGATCAAATCGTCAATGTATTCATCAATGCATCGTTACGAGGCAAGATCAGTTGCGATTCAAGCTTACTATTTACTAATTAGTTCTTTGCTTATTAATTCCTACGCCGATAATTTCTTGTACGTTTATTTTGATTTCTTAATAAATAATTTATTAATTCTTTATTTATTCCAAGATCTAACACTCGCTACACCAATTGAAGGCCGTCCAATACTAACAATATGTAAGTACTAAGCACCAAGGATTTATACGCTAGGTTCCCTGAACGCATAATATATTAATCAGACGATAATTTTCTTACCTCAACCTCCCACAAAGCTTTACTACTCGTAGCTGCAGTGGCGCTAGTTCTACCAGTAGTCCTGAGAAATACATGTTGCTTCTTCTTGTACTCGTCCATTGTAAGAAACTTCTCTTGTTCCGCGTGAAACAGACGAACGACATCGCCACCCTTTAAAATTTCCTCTTGGTTCTCCCTATGCTCCATAAATAACGTTACTTTCCAGGACGTAGCCGCATTCACTACGTTCACTTCCTTGCAACCGGGATTATCGCTCAATTCGTAATTGGCGGCCACATGCAGACCTTGTCTTCCGGCGTTCACTGGTTCCAAAATCACTTTGTCACCGACGACTACGCTATCGCCATCGCTACGCAGTTTGTAGAAAGGCATTATGTAGAGCCAGGAGCCCTCGTTGCCGTTCGCGTCCAGGTACACCCTCATCGCGTTCTTCTCGAGTAGCGCCGGAAGTCTCTTGTTCACCGTCAGGAATTTATTGGATTTCAGATGCAATAGCTAGAAGAGAGACGTACTTCGATCTATAAAGGATACTGCTATATTTAAAAGAATAATATTTATGTAATACAGAATTATTATTTGCAGAACTTTCAACGTTATTATTTGGAATTCCAAAGGCATCGTAAATTGAATTTGCTTTCTATAGAAATCTGTAGAATTTGGAAATTGGGTATTGGAGATATTTTATAAATGGAAATTTGAAATATTTCAGAAGCTTATTTCGAAATAGCACTGAACGATTATTTATTTATTATTGTTACTTAGGATTCAGGAAAGTATTATTTAAAATTACATAGTAATGGTAAAATAGAATTTTCTAGCTATAGAAATTTTATGATCAACTATTAAAATGATAGTTGAGTGCAATTATTTACTATATTATCGCACACAGAATCTGGAATATTATTATTTAAACGATTACATAAATATTTTAAACTAGAATATTGTTTTCCATAACTATAGTACCATACAATTTTTAGATAATCATACCAGAGTACTCTATTATTACCTAGTAATATGGCAATTAATTGAAATAGAAGCTATCGAAAGGCAAGAGCAAAATTCTATTATCGTTCGATCCACAGGAGAAAAAAGAATGAAAATGAAGCACGGAGCGCTAAAATAAGAAGCAGGACGTCAATCACACTGGCCGGTATATTAACTTTCAAGTCTATCATAATTCCCACACATGGAAGGAATAAAGCAGCTCGATAGATCGACAAAGACCCGATGTTATACGTTATTGCATCACGTTAAGTAGACGTCTAACGACGTTCATAGACACTCGCTCGCACGCCAGGAGACGATATATTTCGCCTCCACGTATAATACATTTAGCGACCATCACTTCGCCTATATAACGTTGTTCCCCCTAGTTGTTGACGCTAAAAGCACCGCGAATGGGATTAATAATTCGATCATACACTTAAAACAACACGCAATCGCGAGTCGAAAGCCAAAACGAAATTCAGTGTTTAGATAATGCACTGCATCTTGACGATGCTTTCCGCGATAGTTTCATGCGACACGGATATCACGAAAGGAAGCTAATTCTGTTAATTGGCGACTGGTTATCGTTTTGTGTTGTTTTTTTTTTTTTTTTTTTTTTCT